TCTGAAACACGCAGCATATAATTGGCTACGTGAGAGACCATCCGTTTGCAGATCCAAACCGCACAATTCTAAAGATTGACCCTAGGCTTTTCTAATGGTGATAGCAAACGCCAATCGGATCGGGAATTACAGTCCCCTAAATTGAAAATGGCATATCAGTTGGAGTGCAAGGAATAAGGACTTGTTCACCTTTGAACGGTCCTGTCAAGATAGTTGCATCCACGACGTTGCTCATTTATGGTTTTGCTGCAAGCCGCGTGCCCTTGCAAAACTTCGACTGGTTGATATTTCGCAGCATGGTAATCGGCACGGGGATCTTCAATTGCAGTACGTGCGCGGCATCCGTGGCAGATCAAGAGAATTCAAAAGTTCTGTTGGGTAACTGACTACCTCGTCTGCTTCCAAAACAGTGTCGACGGACGTGTATGTGACCGCCTCGCATCAAATCTTAGACTGCATAACACGGTTAAGTTGGTAGACATCTTTGTTCTTGGCCACAAGAATAGCTCGTTCGCTCAGCCAATCGTGATTCGTATAATTTGGTTTTAATATTCGGAAATACCTTTTCAGTCAATTGCTCGTTTGATGACACTAAATTGCGGAAGGTGAGAGGTAGTGAAATGCGTCCTGAAGTCGGATCAACCGGCACAGTTCCGTTCCCAATCGCCAGCGATCGGTATGAGAATATCTCAGCGTCGGTGGGTTTAGCAGCTGGACATGCATACTTGTAGTTAATTTTAACGTCTGGACGTGGCATCACAAAGAAGAGCATTTCAGACAGGCATTTATTTCGTCCGCTGGTGTCGGTTGAGGAAGTACAGGCAATGTTTGCCTGGATTCTCCTGAAAGCAGTAGCGATGCTTCTCCAAATGGTCTGCTGTTTCCGCGCAAATCTTGCAGTGATAGCTGAAGAGCCTCTAGCGTTTTTTGTGCGTCCTTGTGCATTCCTTCCAAACAATAAGTTTGCGTTTTTGCAGTACTTTTCCCATGCCAGATGCCGTGGAAATGTTGCACGTAGGAGTTTCCATGAATTATACGTTCAAATGCAATTTTAAAGCGAAATGAGCAGTTCTTCCGCTGGGTGGCAGGGTCGCAGCTATTCCTGACAGGCGATCAACCGTGTTGTAGCTTTTCTCGTGGCGCAAATCCACATCTAACGAGGCAACAGCAGTTCGGTTTGGCGATGACATTCCCAGTTGATTGAGAACTTTGTTCGTGATTTCTACGCACATATCCTCAATCATTATTAACGCCTCGTTGTAGATTTCTGCTGAGAAATCCACATTTGAGTTTTGTTTGCGTAGTCGACGGAAGATGTCGTCAGCCATGTGCGCATTGTATGCTTTTAAAAACAAGGGCGAATATAGAACAACCCAGCGGTTATCTACTTGTATGTCACTGACTCGCATTTGTACGTTTGCCAATTGGCCGCCGTCTTCCGCCGGTCGTTTTCGGTATAAGCAATATCCGTTGTTTATAGTAACTATGCTGCATACGAATGTCCGAGTATACCTTCTAACGCATTTTCCGTCTATCATGCACGGGGAATTTGGATTCAGTATACCGCAAGGTCCATGTATCATATTCTTCGCTTCATGCAAATCCTTGTCGACGTCCGCGTGGGATAATTCAGTGCATATTGCATCATCGATTTCGTTGGAGACGGTCTTGTTGTAGAGCCAGATCAAGTTATATGCGTGGGACAGTCCCCGCCTTTTCCATTCCACCGAGTACATCCAGCAGCGCACTGACCCAACCATCTCGTGTTTCACCATGAAGTTCATCAGCGATCTCAGCTTCTGCCTGAAAATACGTGCGCTGATGTCATGCCTATCCACCGACAATTACCCAGGAAGTAAGAGCTATTGAATATCGCCCCAAGTGGAATTGCATGTGAGTGTACTGAATAGGTCTGGACGCCCGTACTGACGAACATGAGCAGTTGCATCTTGAGCGTACTCATGCATATGACGTGTACTGCCGGTACATTTGGATAAAAAAATCGTTAGTCTTCCAACGTTTGTTGTATTATGGTCATTTACAACTGCGCCGCGCAAGTAATGTATTCTTTAGAGCGCAGCTTGGTCTGATTCACGTAAATGAAAAGCAGGCATTCGGTTTTGATTTTTTTATACATTTCAACAATGTATTGGTGAAGCAATGGACGGCATTCCGAAAGGGGATTGCTTACATTCTGTCGAATTATTAATCGGTATGAGTAATAGTTCATTGCGCTGCATTTCATGTGCGTTTCCTCGCCACTGATTGGATTTGTCATCTTAACGTTGAAGTGGCATCCATCGGTACCATCCCAAAAAATAAGTGGATACTGCAGGGCATCGTAGCACCGATGATTTTCTGCAACTTTTGGCAGTTGATCGTCTCGCCGACGAACAATATCTCTACATTCAAATTGGTCTCCGACTACAACAATTGCCACTGCATCTATAGTTGGAGCATGGAATCGTCGTGCATGTTGTCCAGCAGGCGTTCTGTCAGCATGCATGACGATCTTGTGCGTATCAAATGGCATCATGGTAATTGTTGTTTTGAGCAAACGCGCTAAGTTGTCGTGTCCATGAAGAAGCCCCTGCAGTCGAGAAACGATGGACAGTTTTATGCCCGTAGAAATCCCGCAGCGTGCCTTGAATTCGTCACTGTCACCACCGATTCAGTACATTTGTAACAATTTGTGTTGGCCGTCCTAGGACGGAAGAAGGGAGCTGACCGTATGATAAATTTGTACCCTCACTTTGAAAGTTGGTATGAATTGACCTGTCGCGATATCTGCGCCGAAAGACGTTATTTGAAAGCATAAGTTATACTCCCTAATGTTAGATAGGAAGTGCTCTGATTCGATGGTCTTTCCAGCAAGCAAAGTTTTTAATGGCTCTGGTGGTTCTGGAACTTCTGACAGTTTAATTTTTCCGGTGACGCAGCACATGACTTTAGTTTCTTCGTTAAATTTCAAGGCCGTGCAGTAAGGCTACACTTCAGTCCTAGTGCCAATGTGAACATGCCGGCTCAAACAATAATCATGAGATGGGTTGTACTGGAATGCAAGGCGGTAGTAGTCGCGTGAATGCTGAGCACGGGGTCGTGTTTGACGCTGATCTGCTGTTTCTCGCTGATGCCTTTCGGCTGCTCAGCTTGTCTTGTTCGTTCTATTGAGAAAGAAACCGATCTGAAGCTGCAGAACGCGATCGCCGAAGCGGAGGCGGTGACAGCCCAGTTATATGGATGATGTGGGCCAAGTTCAAGTGGATTCCAAGAGTTGCCTGTCATTTTTCCCTATGCGTGGTTTCCCTAGCGGC